TTCCCTCGCCGGGATTCGAACTCATGCTACTGAGATATCGTGACACAATATATATATACTTATTCAAACGGAACGGCAATGTAACTTTTTATCAGTTTTTTTCATTTATATAAAACTGAAAGTGTTACTCTCATCTGTTCAAATATATTTAAAAAAAGTATTGTCTATTGAAATTGAATTTTCCTCATAATGAAAGACATTGAAATATATCTATAGGTCCGAGTCAGGTACATATAACATCTGCAGCCAAATAATATAAACCTAAAACGGAAACCCGTAAGTGAAATAGCAAGACAAAGCCAATAGAAAATAATGTACAAATTATCCAATGAATACCATTGAAAAGTCAAATTTCTATCAGCAATGCGACGAAACTTAAATCTACTCACTTTACTAAATAATACTTGAAAATGTCATGTACAAAATGTACCTGCAGGGTTTCAATACAGGATAATCATATGCTTCAATAGTCAATTATTCATTACACAATAGCGGGGACTAAATTTGGAATACGGAAAGCTATAGCGTAATGAGTTCTGAAAATGTCTTCAAAATATTTTAATAACTTTCTAAGATCAAATTAAATATTTTCATAGTTTATTGAAATAACTTGCTGAAATGGAAAAAATGTTAAGTTATAATAATACAAAGTAAAAAAAAAACCAAGGGTACCATAAATTGCTGCCACATTTATTTTCAATAAATCAAGAAAAATCGAAAATTTAGATATCGCACAACTGCTAACCTCTGTTCACATTAACGTAATTTTAGCACTTAACAATTAAACACACAGTGGTTCGGAATAAAATCACAATGCTTTATGTATATATATTGTGAATAATTATTCTTTTAATTTTACACATTTTGAACATGCTCAAATTCTACTTTCCTTTTCAAAATGGTCACTGGAATAGAAAACAAAACTGATTGGTGTAAAATTTGTTGTATGTGTTTTTGTAAATTTGTATTATATCACACTGTCACAAGCTGTTTTGTCATTTCTGACAATGAATATATATATTTTAAATATGATTGATTAAAACGAAAAGTGTAGAAATTGTAAACCTTATGCAACATGTTTGAAATAGACTATTAATTTTCGGCTGACTGAACACTGCATTTAATTTCCCCTGTCTGTGCACCTCTTTTTAAAGGTCATGATCTTTAGTTCTGGAAATTAAGTCACTTGAGACACAAAGACATTTTCAGTTTCTTTTACTCGTGGTTTGAAACACAACAGAAGATCAAAATCAGTGAAAATGCCAGGAATTCCACCTATGGTGATCGGAGGGAGCATTATAAGCGCTGTATCGTTGATTTTTCATGTTATAGGATTTTCAACCACATACTGGTATAAGATAGGTGAAGCTCATATGGGATTATGGAAATCGTGTGGTCAAGTTAAAGGAGCTGAGATATGCTTTGACATTAAAGGTATTTGGAATAATTCAGCTTTCCCTACACCGTGGGAGGGTCTGGATAGGGTGGATTTGATTTATTTCGTCCTTAATCTCTATTTTTCCTCGTTTTTCTTCTCTTCTGTAAACCCCACCTAGACCCACCTGTAAGTAATCGTATTTTAAATTTTTCATGATGTTGTACGTAACATATTTAGATCTGACATGCCTTTTGATAATTACAAAATACCACAGCTATAGCTGTAAGGTGATCGATAATTGCTTACATCCAGTTCATTTGAACTCAGGTGGATATTTGTCTCATCAATTGGCAATCATACCAGGTATGCATAACTTTAAAGTAGGTTAGTTGACAGATCAGATCTATTTATATATGTAAAATACATGATGTTGTTCAAATATACGCTTGGTAGAACACAATTAAAATAAACGGACTGATGTTCTTTTCGTATATATGGATACAAGATTGTCTTAATGGGGGCCCTTCATTTCTGTATTCTTTAATTGTTAGGCCATTTTTTTCTCAATTCTTGATACTTTTTGTCCATTTTTCTTTTTTTCAATATTTTTTGACAATTATTTTCTATTCTGTAAACCCCCATCCACACCCTCATACAAGCGGTGGAAATGGGACACCAAACATGACGGTAACATCTTTGTGTTTCAGAAAAATAAAATCTTTTAAAGGATTAAAATTGTTTTTTTAAACATCACTGCAGACGATAGTAAAATAAACACACACATTATTTATAATAATACGATCCACTCAGTTACACTGTTTGAATTCCCCTTTCATTTAAAATTGAGAATGGAAATGGGGAATGTGTCAAAGAGGCAACAACCCGACCATAGAACAGACAACAGCAGAAGGTCACCAACAGGTCTTCAATTAATGCAGCGAGAAATTCCCGCACCCGGAGGCGTCCTTCAGCTGGCCCCTAAACAAATATATATACTAGTTCAGTGATAATGAACGCCATACTAAACTCCAAATGTATGAATATCTAATGTCTTATATATGATATACAATTACAAAAACAAGTTGCTTTCTTTAAAAAAAGAAAAGCAATACGTGAACCTTAGACCGCTGACTGGTCACTAAAAGATTGTTGCTGATTTTTTGTTTGATTTTGAATTGAAATAATTGACTGTGAATAGAAGGAGTAAATTTAAAGCTCGACTATTTCATTTATTACTTGGGATTGTACATCATTTTTTTATAATCCTATTGCAAAGTTTCTACAAACCGGATGTATAATGCAAATTGCACAAACCAATCGCAATATAAATTTAAGCACTCAGTTTGCTTTATAATCTGGATGCATTTATTTTATCTATCAAATCTTTATATTTTGTTTCCTGCATGGATGCCTTCATATTCTCAACTCGTTATTGAAGTTGTCTGTACTCATGATAGATGTTGTACAGATAAATTTAAAGTCCATTTTCCATGTGAAGTGCACGTGGTGAAGTGAAACCCTGTGACATGCAACTTATAAGAAGGTTTCGTATATTTTTCTTGAGAGTAACACACCAGCTTCATTTGGACCTCTTATATAGAGACTTATTTTGGTCTCATAAAACATCTCAATTTTAAGGATTTCCTGATTTTACTTAAATCAATCCAAATATTTTACAGGGAAACTTGGTTTTGAAGAATATCTTATTTTCAGAAGTTTTATGAATACCTGAACATACTCTCAAAAGAATCAATTTATATTAAAAGACATGTAGATGTAAAAAAATACCAGTATTAACATGTACGCCAGACGCGAGTTAAGTCTACAAAGAATCACCAGTGACGCTCGAATAAAAATAGTTAAAAAGGCAAAAATAAAGAATGAAGTTAAGTTATCTATTCCTTGGGTAGAAAATCCTTGGCATTTCGAAAATGTCACAGTTTATAAAAGGACAGTGACTCAAAAGAGAAAACAAAAGAGAAAGAGCTAGAGGTCAAAATATCGAAAGCAAAGATGACCATGCTTGAAAGTAACATGGCAAGCTCTTATTGCCGTAACCTGAATTTAGATAAGAAAAGCGAAAATTCGAATTCGCGAGTGAAATTAATATTTATGCATGAACGTGGTATTTTTGCGCAAGAAATAGTAAATAGAAAGCATGCGTACTGATACTCTAGATAAGAATACACATTTGCGTCATCATACATGTCATATATTACTCTAATAGTTGAATTCGGATGTCAAACTATATATTTCAAGTGTTTTGACTCCGGATTCATTGACATTTTATCCGGAATTTTTGTGAACGTAAACCGATAGTGTGCGTGTGAACAGGGTGATGTATAATGTGAATGAATCAAGACGTGTAGGATAGCTGGTCAACACAATGAATACAATTTTCAAAACCGTACCATAGTACAAATATTTAGATGCTATAAGGTTGAACTAATAAAAAAAATAAATAATAATAATTAACATTATGATAGTAATTAAGTCTCCCAAACGAATTTGCGGAAGCCGGAATTCGAACTCATGCTTGTGGGATATCATCGTTCTGTGTTCAGCGCTCTGTCGTAGAGTTGTCACTTGTTTAGGCGTACTTATCAAATAATTATTTCTGTGACTGCATCTTACGACCCTTTACGACAGATAATTTAGTTAATCTGCAATCGATTCCATCTTCATGCCTAATATATAATGTACTGTGTTACAACTCTAGATTCTACTGACGAGGAAAGGTAACACTAGGCCACCGAAAGCTGAAATTTTTAGTTCAGTCTAGGTGGTCGAGTGGCACAGAGCGCTGGACACAGTGCAGGCGGTGCTGTCACGATATCCCAATAGCATGAGTTCGAATCCTGGCGAAGGAAGAACAAATTGCTTCCGCAAATTTGCAGATTTAACATTGCTGTGCTGATATTAAGAGTAAATATATATACATATTGTGGCCTTCGGCTGTTGTCTGTTCTATGGTCGGGTTGTTGTCTCTTTGACACATTCCCCATTTCCATTCTCAATTATATATATATATAAGTACGTCTGAACCAGTGACAACTCTACAACAGATTTATCCATCGGATCAATAGCAGTGATGGTGATACATGGCTGTGTACATTCTGTATATACAACTCGGCTAAACATCAGCCCAACAATGTTTGATCTGTAAATTTGCTTTCACAATTTTTTTGTTCTTCCCTCGCCGGGATTCGAACTCATGCTACTGAGATATCGTGACACAATATATATATACTTATTCAAACGGAACGGCAATGTAACTTTTTATCAGTTTTTTTCATTTATATAAAACTGAAAGTGTTACTCTCATCTGTTCAAATATATTTAAAAAAAGTATTGTCTATTGAAATTGAATTTTCCTCATAATGAAAGACATTGAAATATTTCTATAGGTCCGAGTCAGGTACATATAACATCTGCAGCCAAATAATATAAACCTAAAACGGAAACCCGTAAGTGAAATAGCAAGACAAAGCCAATAGAAAATAATGTACAAATTATCCAATGAATACCATTGAAAAGTCAAATTTCTATCAGCAATGCGACGAAACTTAAATCTACTCACTTTACTAAATAATACTTGAAAATGTCATGTACAAAATGTACCTGCAGGGTTTCAATACAGGATAATCATATGCTTCAATAGTCAATTATTCATTACACAATAGCGGGGACTAAATTTGGAATACGGAAAGCTATAGCGTAATGAGTTCTGAAAATGTCTTCAAAATATTTTAATAACTTTCTAAGATCAAATTAAATATTTTCATAGTTTATTGAAATAACTTGCTGAAATGGAAAAAATGTTAAGTTATAATAATACAAAGTAAAAAAAAAACCAAGGGTACCATAAATTGCTGCCACATTTATTTTCAATAAATCAAGAAAAATCGAAAATTTAGATATCGCACAACTGCTAACCTCTGTTCACATTAACGTAATTTTAGCACTTAACAATTAAACACACAGTGGTTCGGAATAAAATCACAATGCTTTATGTATATATATTGTGAATAATTATTCTTTTAATTTTACACATTTTGAACATGCTCAAATTCTACTTTCCTTTTCAAAATGGTCACTGGAATAGAAAACAAAACTGATTGGTGTAAAATTTGTTGTATGTGTTTTTGTAAATTTGTATTATATCACACTGTCACAAGCTGTTTTGTCATTTCTGACAATGAATATATATATTTTAAATATGATTGATTAAAACGAAAAGTGTAGAAATTGTAAACCTTATGCAACATGTTTGAAATAGACTATTAATTTTCGGCTGACTGAACACTGCATTTAATTTCCCCTGTCTGTGCACCTCTTTTTAAAGGTCATGATCTTTAGTTCTGGAAATTAAGTCACTTGAGACACAAAGACATTTTCAGTTTCTTTTACTCGTGGTTTGAAACACAACAGAAGATCAAAATCAGTGAAAATGCCAGGAATTCCACCTATGGTGATCGGAGGGAGCATTATAAGCGCTGTATCGTTGATTTTTCATGTTATAGGATTTTCAACCACATACTGGTATAAGATAGGTGAAGCTCATATGGGATTATGGAAATCGTGTGGTCAAGTTAAAGGAGCTGAGATATGCTTTGACATTAAAGGTATTTGGAATAATTCAGCTTTCCCTACACCGTGGGAGGGTCTGGATAGGGTGGATTTGATTTATTTCATCCTTAATCTCTATTTTTCCTCGTTTTTCTTCTCTTCTGTAAACCCCACCTAGACCCACCTGTAAGTAATCGTATTTTAAATTTTTCATGATGTTGTACGTAACATATTTAGATCTGACATGCCTTTTGATAATTACAAAATACCACAGCTATAGCTGTAAGGTGATCGATAATTGCTTACATCCAGTTCATTTGAACTCAGGTGGATATTTGTCTCATCAATTGGCAATCATACCAGGTATGCATAACTTTAAAGTAGGTTAGTTGACAGATCAGATCTATTTATATATGTAAAATACATGATGTTGTTCAAATATACGCTTGGTAGAACACAATTAAAATAAACGGACTGATGTTCTTTTCGTATATATGGATACAAGATTGTCTTAATGGGGGCCCTTCATTTCTGTATTCTTTAATTGTTAGGCCATTTTTTTCTCAATTCTTGATACTTTTTGTCCATTTTTCTTTTTTTCAATATTTTTTGACAATTATTTTCTATTCTGTAAACCCCCATCCACACCCTCATACAAGCGGTGGATATGGGACACCAAACATGACGGTAACATCTTTGTGTTTCAGAAAAATAAAATCTTTTAAAGGATTAAAATTGTTTTTTTAAACATCACTGCAGACGATAGTAAAATAAACACACACATTATTTATAATAATACGATCCACTCAGTTACACTGTTTGAATTCCCCTTTCATTTAAAATTGAGAATGGAAATGGGGAATGTGTCAAAGAGGCAACAACCCGACCATAGAACAGACAACAGCAGAAGGTCACCAACAGGTCTTCAATTAATGCAGCGAGAAATTCCCGCACCCGGAGGCGTCCTTCAGCTGGCCCCTAAACAAATATATATACTAGTTCAGTGATAATGAACGCCATACTAAACTCCAAATGTATGAATATCTAATGTCTTATATATGATATACAATTACAAAAACAAGTTGCTTTCTTTAAAAAAAGAAAAGCAATACGTGAACCTTAGACCGCTGACTGGTCACTAAAAGATTGTTGCTGATTTTTTGTTTGATTTTGAATTGAAATAATTGACTGTGAATAGAAGGAGTAAATTTAAAGCTCGACTATTTCATTTATTACTTGGGATTGTACATCATTTTTTTATAATCCTATTGCAAAGTTTCTACAAACCGGATGTATAATGCAAATTGCACAAACCAATCGCAATATAAATTTAAGCACTCAGTTTGCTTTATAATCTGGATGCATTTATTTTATCTATCACATCTTTATATTTTGTTTCCTGCATGGATGCCTTCATATTCTCAACTCGTTATTGAAGTTGTCTGTACTCATGATAGATGTTGTACAGATAAATTTAAAGTCCATTTTCCATGTGAAGTGCACGTGGTGAAGTGAAACCCTGTGACATGCAACTTATAAGAAGGTTTCGTATATTTTTCTTGAGAGTAACACACCAGCTTCATTTGGACCTCTTATATAGAGACTTATTTTGGTCTCATAAAACATCTCAATTTTAAGGATTTCCTGATTTTACTTAAATCAATCCAAATATTTTACAGGGAAACTTGGTTTTGAAGAATATCTTATTTTCAGAAGTTTTATGAATACCTGAACATACTCTCAAAAGAATCAATTTATATTAAAAGACATGTAGATGTAAAAAAATACCAGTATTAACATGTACGCCAGACGCGAGTTAAGTCTACAAAGAATCACCAGTGACGCTCGAATAAAAATAGTTAAAAAGGCAAAAATAAAGAATGAAGTTAAGTTATCTATTCCTTGGGTAGAAAATCCTTGGCATTTCGAAAATGTCACAGTTTATAAAAGGACAGTGACTCAAAAGAGAAAACAAAAGAGAAAGAGCTAGAGGTCAAAATATCGAAAGCAAAGATGACCATGCTTGAAAGTAACATGGCAAGCTCTTATTGCCGTAACCTGAATTTAGATAAGAAAAGCGAAAATTCGAATTCGCGAGTGAAATTAATATTTATGCATGAACGTGGTATTTTTGCGCAAGAAATAGTAAATAGAAAGCATGCGTACTGATACTCTAGATAAGAATACACATTTGCGTCATCATACATGTCATATATTACTCTAATAGTTGAATTCGGATGTCAAACTATATATTTCAAGTGTTTTGACTCCGGATTCATTGACATTTTATCCGGAATTTTTGTGAACGTAAACCGATAGTGTGCGTGTGAACAGGGTGATGTATAATGTGAATGAATCAAGACGTGTAGGATAGCTGGTCAACACAATGAATACAATTTTCAAAACCGTACCATAGTACAAATATTTAGATGCTATAAGGTTGAACTAATAAAAAAAATAAATAATAATAATTAACATTATGATAGTAATTAAGTCTCCCAAACGAAGTTTGGGAAGACTTATTGTTTTTGCTCAGTTCTTATTAAGTCTCCCAAACGAAGTTTGGGAAGACTTATTGTTTTTGCTCAGTTCTTATGATTCTTCTTCTTCTTCTTCTTCTTCTTCTTCTTCCGCCGCTTTTAAATTTGAACTTGTCCGCACCCGTTCTCCAAAACCGCTTGTCTGATTAACTTAGGGTTTCACAATATGTTAGACTAACATGTCTAGTAGTGCAATCAGGGTTTTGTTTTTTGCAATGGGGTTTATAAAGGGGTACTTTGAGGGGCAAAAAGAAAAGAGGGTTTTACTATAGAACCCTATGGGATTTTATTTTTTAAAATTTTCAAATGATTATAAATTGAAAACCGTTCGTGATAGACACAAACTTTTTAATTGAAAATGTTCTAAATGATAAAGCCCATTAAATGAAATACAGGGTTAGTCCCCAGGGGTCACCCCCACCCCCTGCCATTTAAGAAAGTTCTAATACCTTGTAAGTGGTCAAGATCCCCACCCCTAAACCATATATATTCTGGTTTGTCATGCTAAGATGGTTTGAATGATATACAGGGTTAGTCCCCAGGGGTCATCCCCACCCCCTGTCATTTGAGAAAGTTCTAATATCTTGTAAATGGTCGAGATCCCCACCCCTTAACCATATATATTCTGGTTTGTCATGATAAAGCACATCAAATGTAATACAGGGTTGGTCCCCAGCGGTCACCCCACCCCCTGCCATTTAAGAAAGTTCTAATATCTTCTAAGTTGTCAAGATCCCCACCCCTAAACCATATATATTCTGGTTTGTCATGCTAAGATGGTTTGAAGGATATACAGGGTTAGTCCCCAGGGATCATCCCGATCCCCTGCCATTTGAGAAAGTTCTAATATCTTGTAAATGGTCGAGATCCCCACCCCTAAACCATATATATTCTGGTTTGTCATGCTAAGATGGTTTGAAGGATATACAGGGTTAGTCCCCAGGGATCATCCCGATCCCCTGCCATTTGAGAAAGTTCTAATATCTTGTAAATGGTCGAGATCCCCACCCCTAAACCATATATATTCTGGTTTGTCATGATAAAGCACATCAAATGAAATACAGGGTTAGTCCCCAGGGGTTACCCCCACCCCCTGCCATTTGAGAAAGTTCTAATATCTTGAAAGTGGTCAAGATCCCCACCCCTAAACTATATATATTCTGGTTTGTTATGCTAAGATGGTTTGAATGATATACAGGGTAAGTCCAAAGGGGTCACCCCCACCCCCTGCCATTTAAGAAAGTTCTAATATCTTCTAAGTGGTCAAGATCCCCACCCCTAAACCATATATATTCTGGTTTGTCATGCTGAGATGGTTTGAATGATATACAGGGTAAGTCCCCAGGGGTCACCCCCACCCCCTGCCATTTAAGAAAGTTCTAATATCTTCTAAGTGGTCAAGATCCCCACCCCTAAACCATATATATTCTGGTTTGTCATGCTGAGATGGTTTGAATGATATACAGGGTAAGTCCCCAGGGGTCATCCCGACCCCCTGCCATTTGAGAAAGTTCTAATATCTTGTAAATGGTCGAGATCCCCACCCCTAAACCATATATATTCTGGTTTGTCATGATAAAGCACATCAAATGTTATACAGGGTTAGTCCCCAGGGGTAACCCCCACCCCCTGCCATTTAAGAAAGTTCTAATATCTTGAAAGTGGTCAAGATCCCCACCCCTAAACCATATATATTCTGGTTTGTTATGCTAAGATGGTTTGAATGATAGACAGGGTTAGTCCCCAGGGGTCATCCCGACCCCCTGCCATTTAAGAAAGTTATAATATCTTGTAAATGGTTGAGATCGCCACCCCTAAACCATATATATTCCTGTTCGTCATGTAATGAACATTTGAAAGACGTATAGGGCCAGTCCCCAGGGGTTCCTCCCCACCCCCAATATTCTAGTATCTTGTAAATGGTTGAGATCCCCACCCCTAAACCATATATATTCTGGTTTGTCATGCCAAGATGATTTGAATGATATACAAGGTTAGTCCCCAGGCATCACTAATGCATATAACTTTACTGGACCAAACCAATTTTCACTGGACGTTGCCCAATGTCAGGCGACCCTGGGAATTACGAATTATGGGAGCTTCGTTTGGGAGACTTCGTAACAGCATCCTGTTACAATCATTTCTTGTTATTAATAATATTCTTCTTCTTCTTCTTCTTCTTCCGCCGCTTTTAAATTTGAACTTGTCCACACCCGTTCTCCAAAACCGCTTGTCGGATTAACTTAGGGTTTCACAATATGTTAGACTAACATGTCTAGTGGTGCAATCAGGGTTTTGTTTTTGCAATGGGGTTTATAAAGGGGTACTTTGAGGGGCAAAAAGAAAAGAGGGTTTTACTATAGAACCCTATGGGATTTTATTTTTTAAAATTTTCAAATGATTATAAATTGAAAACCGTTCGTGATAGACACAAACTTTTTAATTGAAAATGTTCTAAATGATAAAGCCCATTAAATGAAATACAGGGTTAGTCCCCAGGGATCACCCCACCCCCT